AGACTTTTTAAAATATTCAATATACACACATACACACACAAATCTTTTCTTTCTACTCATTTCCCTTCTTGAATTTTTCTCCCAGTTTCAACTCTATCCAAATCAATTTTACTCCTAAGAGTTGTCTCTCTATTCTTTCATGAAACTTTGCCAACAGAAATATTAGTTACCCAATAATGTCCCAGGGGAGCTACTTATTATTCTAATATAGTTTGTAAATATGTACCAATATGGTGGAAGGAAATCATGATCAAAGTTTGGCAGTCGTCTTTTGGAATGTTAAATAAAATGTATATTTCAGACAATAGCTTAATCTCCTGTGCTTGCAAGCTAATCTCTGCTGAGAGAAAAAAAAATCAATTATAAACACTAAAAACACAACTACCTCCTCTGAATTTGTAGGTTTGTGCCTTTATTAATGTTATTTCATTAGTCTAGCCTGCCATTAGCATCATCCTTTGCCTACTAAAACCTTTTCGAGCTCTCCCTGATCCCTCGGAAAAAACTAGCTATATATTCACAGTACACAACATATGTCTCTACTTAGCAAGAATGTGATTCTCCCTTACATGTCAGTGAACTGCTTACATATATGTCTCCCACCAGTCAGGAAGTTGAATGGAGTTGTTCATAAGACAAACTGAGGCTTTGGGGAAGATTAAGGATTTTGGTGGGAATGGGACAGAAGCAAAGAACTGTCAGAACTGGGGTACTAGGAAGCAATATAATGGAATTAGTTCAGGTCATCGCTCAATGGGGCGAGTCACACTCATATTTGTTCCATGTGTCATCATCTGAGATGGTGGGCCACCCGTCTTTGGGTGGATACCAGTGATTTGGTTGAAGGTGTATTGTTTGAATTGGAATACAACTCTCAGAGTAAAGATGGAAAAATAGTGAGTACATCTTTTTTAAAAAGCTATTTAGAGAGTTAGAGCTTCTTTGGACTGAGGAGATGTTCAAAAAATGGTCCAGCTTCAGAATGGAAACCAAAGTGAAAAGTAAGAAACCAAGAGAGAAAACACTGCAGAGGTCAGAAAATAGGCTCTCTGTGATTGACAAGCCAACTGGACAGAGTGACAAGAGTAATCTCAAATCATAATTTCTCTTTGGTAAGAGCCCAGTTCTGTGAAATAACTAAGTAGCTATCTTTATGGACTGATGGAAGGATGGATGGATGGATGGATGGATGGATGAATGGATGGATGGATGGATGGATGGATGGATGGTTGGGTAGATGATGATAGATAGATAGATAGATAGATAGATAGATAGATAGATAGATAGATAGATAGATAAAGCTTAATACATACATACAAAACTGGAATAAATATATAAAACTGTTAACAGCAGTAATCTGTGTTGTGGGACTATGGAATAATTTTTTCACCATTATTTTTTCTATCTTTCCCAAATTTTGATGGAAATGGGTCCTGTTTTTATAATCAGAAAAAAGCACGCGTATATGTATGTACTATTTCTTTTTCTTTTGACTAAACCAATAATTTTCCATCTGGGGGCAATTTTGTCCCCCAGACAGCATTTGGCAATGCCTGGAGACATATTTGGTTGTCACACTGTGGAGTGTGCTACTGGCATCTAGTGGAGAGAGACCAGGAATGCTTCTAAACATCCTCTAATGTACAAGACTGCTTCTAAAATTTGTATATATTAGAAGCTATCATCTTTATCTCAGAATTAGCCAAGTAAAAGTGACCTCTGGACTGACAGATGTTGGAAAATATTGTGTTTCTTGTTTACCTTTATGTTTTATGTATTGACTAGCACAAGTCTTCATGTGTAACAAATTCTAAATAAATATATATTGGATTGAATTAAATTAAAAATGTATAGCTCTTCTGGACACAATTAATATAGTTATAAAGACGCATAATAGTTTTAGAATAAGTAATTAAAAGATATGTTTTCTGGACCATCTAGAATCAAGAATTACATTGATTTAATTCAATAAGAGGACAGTGGGCATCTTCTGGGCATATACCATTTTCCCAGATGCTCTACAGAGTATAACAACATAAAATGCTTTCCCTGACCTTGAAGAGTCTGCAATCTAACCAAAGAGACAGAACATATTCTGAGAAAACCATTTTGTTCCAGAGCAAAACAGTACATGGTTGCATGCCAAAATGAGTAACTAATTAGTGCAATAAGAATTTAAGGAACAGAAAAAAAATCAGTATATCTGGAATTGTCAGAGATGGTTTCATGGCAAAGGAGAGAATTGAGCTGAGCCTTAACAGACTGATGGATAGAATTTCAATATGACCAGCAATGAGGGGAAGGTATTGATTGTAAGGCAGAGAAAATAGCATGAACAAAACTAAAAAGATAAGCCTGACCACGTGCAGGTTCATGGGGAGTGAGAGGACTATCCTGGCGGAAGCAGGTAATCAATTTGAATTGCTGGGAAGTGGTCAGTTTATGGTGTGAATCAAATGAATGGATAGGAATCGATAGGAATACCCTGTAAAATACCTAAACCTGTGAATAAGATAAAACATCCCCTCTCCAAACAAAGTTTGGAAATTGTGTTTTCAGTTTTTAGCACACTTAAAGTGATTACTTAACATAATATGGTTTAGCATCATCTTCCCACACATACAGACCTTTGCACTATAAAAAGTAACAATCTCGCCTACATAGTGTACCTAATATTCCATAAAAGTGACCATTAGCAAAGGCAAGCCAAATTTAGCCATAGCCCCATGTAGCCTTTTCCCCCCTTGTGACTAGAAAGAGAGCAAGAGTCCTTATTTCAGAAGGGTAGTACTCTAATTAAAGAATTATTTTAATTACCTTAACTAATATCCTAATTTTATGTTTTTGTCAAGGTAATAAGAGAACAAGTATTATGTCTGGTCAAGGAGACTTGCAGAGGATAGAAACGTACAATTAATTTTGTTGGGAATCATTAGACTTACTTCAATGCACATATATGTTGAGCTAGTAATTAAATGCAAGAAGGAATAGATCATTGCCTCCAAAAACTTACCTTATACCTATGACCTCAGTTTTCATACCCTTTTTACTTGTTAGGATAAACTTATCTTTCCAGACTGGAGACCCAGAAGAGGGAACTTTGGAGAATAAGTAGGCTTTGTATTAGTTATAGGAAGAACTCCAATGAAATAACAATTAATGATTAATAAAATCTCCCCAAATAGACAGACCAATGTGTCTTTAAAATCAAAAATTAGCATGATACACATTTGAACTTGTAAATACTACAATCAAATTAACTATGAAGCAGAAATTCTTAGATCCCCGTAAAAGAGGTTTTGCTAAATGTTAACTCACCTACAAAATTTTGTTGGTTAGGAATAGGTTCAGCTACATACAACAGCCTTACTTACAGTAGCTTAGCCAAATGGCGATTTGGTTTTCTTCAAAGAGAATTCAAGAAGATCGTAAACCAGGGCTTTTATTGGTGGCTACATGACGCCCATTTAGGACAAAGCTCCTTCTGGTTTTCTAATAAGCATTCTTAAATGACTTCCAGTTACATTGCATTGTTCAGAAACGTGTCATGTGAACCACCCCTAGTTGAAAGGTAGGCTGAAAAATAAAGTTTTTAATTATGTACATTTCAGTCCTAAATCAAATAAGGAAGAAAGGGAAGGATTATGTAGGCCAACTAGCAAACCCCATCAACAACACAAAATCAGTGATTATAGTAAGATCCTAGCCATTATATGTTTGTTAAACTACTACTAAGTGAATTCAGTGTGTAACACATAACTCCAATATCTAGATGCCACACAAAGTCCATTTTCCAGGTTTTCTTTAACTAGATCATTTCGTACCTTTAAACTACATTTTTGTCTAATAGGTTTCTTGGAGAACAGCCTTAGCACAGCATGTATCCATCCATAGAAAAGGTTTGAGTGTAGTATTGCTATGCCTACAAGGGCAAGAGTGATCTATGAAGATTTCCACTCACTCAGAAAGTTCCCAATTGTTATATCATGGATTGTAATTGACAGAGCTAATTCAGGAATGTGAAAAAAACAGAATTGCAGGAAATTACAGGTATGGAAAGTACGTCTTTGCTCTCCCAGCTTCTTCCTACTTTTGCTAGTAAGGACGCAAGTGGTGATATCTTAAGAGCTGTCAAGTTCCTGAAAGTAGCAGCTCAGTATCTAAGAGTATTTGGCACATAGTAGGTGCTCAAGTAATATTTGTTGACTAAACCTTTTGCCTATTTACCCTTATCAAAGGGTGCACAGAAGTTGGTTAAAAAGAATCATTCTCCTTTCACTTTAATGAAGAAGTCAGCATATACTCTGTGAATAAAGGCTCTTTGAGGAGCCCAAAGGAAATGCTTGCTATGATCTCTTGCTCTGAAGGTCTCACCCTGTGTTTTATGTGACCTGGCAGATTTTTTTGACTCACATCCAATGTTAATTAATCAAATCTATAGGAATTGGTTTCTAAGCCATTTGGCCACCAAGCAGGTTGTTAACATTGTAAAATCAATTTAACGCCATTTTTAAGTGTTTAAAATCATCTTGTAATTTCCTAAGTTAGCATTTAAGTCAACTTGAAATGGAAGTTAGGGACTATCAGTCAACATATCAGTGGATCAATCACTGACTTGTTATTTGAGGGGCTTTTGAAGATGAACGAATAAAGGCCCCTGCCCTTGACAACTTATGATCCGTTTAGAGAGACAATATGTGTGTGGGGGAAAAACATGTAATAATATCACATTATATTTATGACTTGTCAAATTAATAGAACAGACAATAAATGTTTCATTTTGCCCAGAATACCAATAAACTTGGACTTTGCTAAAGTGAAAACATGGACCAAATATATCCTGTTGCATAACTCAGATTTTGAGACCCTAACAGGAGGATCACAGCGCTTTGAAGATTAGAGTATAAAGTACTATTTAGCATAGATAATCTATAAGGAATTCACTTGAACCATAGGAGGAAATAAAAACAATTATTCTTTTTCTTCTTTTTTTAAATTAGGTCATGGAACTAAAGGAGTATTTGAGCTTCTGTCTGGATGGCGGAGAACCAGAGAGAATTTGCCCTTCAAAGACAGGGTAGCAGATGCCTATTCTGATGTGATGGTCACCTATACCATGACCAGCTCCCTGTACTTCATTACGTTTGGCATGGGTGCCAGCCCATTCACAAACATAGAGGCTGTGAAGGTCTTCTGTCAGAACATGTGTGTCTCCATTCTGCTAAACTACTTCTACATTTTCTCCTTCTTTGGCTCCTGTCTGGTCTTTGCTGGCCAACTAGAGCAAAACCGCTACCACAGCATCTTTTGCTGCAAGATCCCTTCTGCAGAATACCTGGACCGCAAACCTGTGTGGTTCCAGACAGTGATGAGTGATGGGCATCAACAGACATCCCATCATGAGACAAACCCCTACCAGCACCACTTTATTCAGCACTTCCTCCGTGAACATTACAATGAATGGATTACCAATATCTATGTGAAGCCATTTGTTGTCATCCTCTATCTCATTTATGCCTCCTTCTCCTTCATGGGGTGCTTGCAGATCAGTGACGGAGCCAACATCATCAATCTACTTGCCAGTGATTCCCCAAGCGTTTCCTATGCCATGGTTCAGCAGAAATATTTCAGCAACTATAGCCCTGTGATAGGATTCTACATCTACGAGCCCCTTGAGTACTGGAACAACAGCGTCCAGGAGGACCTACGGAGACTCTGCAGTGGGTTCACTGCAGTGTCCTGGATGGAGCAGTATTACCAGTTCCTGAAAGTTAGCAACATCAGTGCCAACAACAAGAGTGACTTCATCAGTGTCCTACAAAGTTCATTTTTAAAAAAGCCGGAATTCCAGCATTTTCGAAATGATATCATCTTCTCCAAGGCAGGAGATGAAAACAACATCATCGCTTCTCGCTTGTATCTGGTGGCCAGGACTAGCAGAGACAAGCAGAAGGAAGTCATAGAAGTGTTGGAAAAGTTGAGGCCTCTGTCCCTCTCAAAGAGCATCCGATTCATCGTGTTCAACCCCTCCTTTGTGTTCATGGACCATTACGGCTTGTCTGTCACAGTGCCTGTTCTGATTGCAGGCTCAGGTGTTCTCCTGGTGTTAGTCCTGACTTTTTTCCTAGTGATCCACCCTCTGGGAAACTTCTGGCTAATTCTTAGCGTCACCTCAATTGAGCTGGGCGTTCTGGGCTTAATGACATTATGGAACATCGACATGGATTGCATTTCTATCTTGTGCCTTATCTACACTTTAAATTTCGCCATTGACCACTGTGCACCACTGCTTTACACATTTGTATTAGCAACTGAGCACACCCGAACACAATGTATAAAAAGCTCCCTGCAAGAGCATGGGACAGCCATTTTGCAAAATGTTACTTCTTTTCTTATTGGGTTGGTCCCCCTCCTATTTGTGCCTTCAAACCTGACCTTCACACTGTTCAAATGCTTGCTGCTCACTGGAGGTTGCACACTTCTGCACTGTTTTGTTATCTTACCTGTGTTCCTAACCTTTTTCCCCCCTTCCAAAAAACACCACAAGAAAAAGAAACGTGCCAAACGAAAGGAGAGAGAGGAAATTGAGTGCATAGAAATTCAAGAGAACCCTGATCACGTCACCACAGTCTGAAGGGTATAGACTAATGGATTATTTTTCTTTTCCAGTATTGCACAACGATGCAGGGCAAGTAAAGCTCAGACCTCAGCTGCTTGGGCTGGCCCGGGGTAACAAGGCAAGTCAGATCAAGAGTGAATTATTCCTGACACATCAAGGTGTACACTTCCTGGGGGGAAGAGGGAATCAAAGAAGGGGAAAAAGTTCTTTGCAACCTTGTTCTCCACTAAAGATAAGTTTCTGGCAGTGATCTTAGAGCTCTTCCAAGGAAAGGATGAATCAATGGAGTGTTCGAAGGCCAAAAGAACCAACTGCTTTTAAGAATAAAATGCTTAGGAGAGATGGAGAAGAGAAGAAAGGGGCCCTCCAAATAGGGAAAAAGACATAGGAAATGTCAAAATTGCCATGGCACTTTTCATATTTGTTTTTTGAACAGATTGATCAAAGGAAACCTATGCACTTGGGAAGTACATATTTAATCCCGTCTAAACCAAAGGACTTCCCAATCCATTTTATGTGTACATATGTATGTATATATGCCGTATATACATCTACTTAGATTTGTCTTTAGTGTACATTGACGTTTGTGTGGAGGGAGGTGTCCATTTGCAGATCGGCTGGCCTTTCTCTAGAAAGTCAAATCAGCCTTAGCCATATGTAGACGCATTAATGGCCATTCAAAATCAACTCAAGTGTTTCAGCTGCAAGAGTATTATTCAATTGTGCAATAAGCAAAATAAACAGAGATGTGAGTCCATTAGATTCTACACATCATGTCAATCTTTGAGAGTCTTGCTTTGGATGACTGAGCAAAAAACACAAAAAGGCATTTGAATTAATTACCACATGGGCAAGGTTTAACATCTCGTTTTAGAGCTAAATAGCTGATATGGCTTTTCATTGGCTTTTAGTGGTTCTCTGTATTTGCGAAGGCTGATTTGGCTGCTTTCAGAGAGCTCACCCACTGCAAATGAGCGTTTTACACATGTTGTCCATACATATGTGTATAAGGGTGCATGTGGCTTGTGTGTGTGTGTGTGTATGTGAGTTGGGGTATACCATAGTTACAGTGTTCTCATTTTAGATGGTGAAAATATACTGCCATGGAATATAGATAATTAACATAGGAGAAAGGAGACATAACTAGGAAACTTGTTGTAGGGTGAAATAGAGAAAATGGACCATCACCACTCATCATGCGTCATCAACTGGTTCTTAGTGTAAGGAAAATATCCTAATCCTATAAAGCCTAGTGTATTCCTTGCATTAATATTTGGAACAAAAACCCAGGCCACGATCACCATAGTAGTGGTCACTACACCTACCGCAATATCGTTTTGTAGCTTCTTGCAATATCACTGTTCTTGTTACCTGGAAAGTGCTCCTCAGTTGGCCCACCTCCTAGGGTGATGGTAGCTCTCCACAGGTGGCATATTAACTGTAACTGCTGCTGGATTCTCTCTCCAAAAAGAGACTGAGGTAAATGTTTTCATTGACTTAAAGTTTAAAACTGCTTCCCAGCAGATAGACTCAGTCTGTTGGGTGCTTACTTGGATTAATGCTGTACTTCCTGTCCAGAAAATTACTAAAAAATGCCTTTTCCTATGACAAGCAGTAAAATAAGTAAATTTTCAGATAGGACTGAGCAAATGTCCAATGATTATAAAATATGCTAGTAAGCTCTTTCACCTGGAAGAGAGCTACTGTTTCCCACCAACTTTGGTTGTATATTTTAATTGAATTTAAAGTATTAAAATCTAAAAAAACAAAAGAAAAGAAACTCCTGGAGTCAGTTAAGTTCAGAAAAGCGATACAAACCAGTCTTTGGAAATGAAGTTGATGAATTAATGAAATAACAGAACAACAAAACAAATGTGCTTTTAGAAATAAAGAGTTTACTAGAATATTAAGGGAAAGGAGAACTTTTTCTACAACTAAAAACATTTAACAGAATTTTAGTTTATTGAATGGAGTTTGTTTTGTCCTACTTTGAGGTTATTGAGTTTCTGTTAGAAATGATCCATGTCTTCTCAACTGTGTTCATCTGAGATCTGTATCAATAGATCAAGTATGGACAAAAATTGCCATACACATAGGGTTATTGTTCTTGCATTATTTGTAAAGTCATGTCACAGATAACCTTAGCCTTTTGCCTCCTGAACTGCTCTGCTAGGATGAACTGGTATTTGGCACTAGTAGACCTGCAGACCGTGATCTCATATCTGAAGTAGAAGTTTCTGAGGAGTTGGTTTTTTTGGGAGGAGGGGGGATTCTTCTTTCACAGTTAACTCATCATTTGTGAAGATTCGATTTACATCCCTTTCAAAAGATGCGAGGTAATCAGCTAAGAAATTCCATTAACTATCACTCCATTTCTTTCCAAGGTGTGCCATATGCCATTCATTTGCCAATTTTTAAAAAGCTTACCTACTTGGGTCATTATTTTTCTTGATTACCTTAGACAATTCCATATACAAATAAGATTGGCAGGCTGATTTATAAGGAAAGAATTGAACATACCAGTAGCCAAATGCATACGAGGATAGTGGCATTTATTGCCAAACCACTGGGGCAGTTCTAATATCATGCTTCCGTAGTCTCTATTTGGATGGGGAAAAACAGTTCCTTTTTAAGTTATATCTTTAAGGACCAAAATGACTAAGAAAAATATGAATTTCTCATTGTTCAAGTGACTAGAGGGGTGGAATTTTGGAAGGGACATTATCTTTTCCAGGACACCATGGTACTCTTTAGTGAACTGCAGCAATAATTTATTGAAATGGAATTTCTTGTTCTGGAAGAGTTAATATACCACCCAAAATTCTCTAACTCAACCCTAGGAAGTAATTTAAGCCCAGGAGGAATCTAACTGAGTATCATCTGGCTTCCCAATCTCACTGTGAAACAGATATTTCCAAGAATTCCATTCACTGAATGCCAAGGTACATCCTAAAATATGGGATCATGATTTGCAGGTAATGCTCAACCTCTGCCTTTTTCAGTAGCTTGTATGCAACTCCCTCTAGTTTTTCAAGTTTACTTGCGTTCTTTTATCCATTTGTGAAATACTGATGGTGTTCAAACTAGGAACTTATCTAGAAGATGACCGATTAACTCCTAGAAGAGAAGAAACCTGTGGGAAATATCTCAGATACATAGAATATTTTATTTTGTTGAAACGTGTTTATCCCTTAAAGTGAGAGATTTTTAAAATTTGCAAAAACCACACCTTTTCTGAATTTAAACTGAATGTATATTGTTTCCTCCTATCAGAAATTGAATTTGAATTAGAAAGTATCATAAGAGCTCTGCTCTCCAAGATGGTTAATAAAGTTTCAAAGAAGTATTCACCTAAATTATAGAAAGAGATTTGTCTAAAAGCTAGATTCTTAACCTCCTATAGTTAAAGGTAATCATATGCTAACTTAACCATGCATAACTTTTTTTAATAAGAGGTTAAGTTATGCTTAAATGTCATCCTATGAATTCTTCCAGGGACCATGAACCTCTTTGAAGGTTGTGCATAAATATTCTGTGAAAGAATTATTCTCCACTGTGGTTGTATCATGTGAGTGTTTCTTTCCCATTTGATTTCTATTTATTTCCACAGAATTTTGGTTTTACCTTGCAAGGTTAGAAGAAGAATCATGACAAATGAAGCTCCTATGATGCTATAACAGCCATTCTTGAATGTTGAATTCAAGGGGGTGAGAGTTTTGTCCATTTTGTAATTACCCATTGCACTTTCCCATAATAAGATAATCCTTCTAGGCTTGTGGTCAGAGCTAGGGATTAACTGTTGCCATTCAGAGATACATGTGTTTTTATAAGTTGACTGTAAATATCATAATTACAGTCACATATTTTTATGACCAAATAGTTATGAATGCCTGGCACTATGCATGCATTGTTACTAATAGTACATAGATTTTTAAAGATACTATTTTCATGGTTATTGCAACTTTTATTAAAATTCTCATATCACCTATTCATAAATGCCTTGTAGGTTTTGGTCCCAAAGGCCTAAAGTCCACAGGAAATTCCATCCCAAGGGGAACAATTTAAAAATTGCCTTCCCTGGGTGTCAATGGCAGCAACCTCTTCTGGAATGTCCTCTGGAAAATCCTAGAGGCTAAATCTAGCTTCCAGATAAAGAACATAGCAGATTCTGTGTTAGTCAGTAATTAAGCATACTCTAATATCTTGTGTTTGCTAATATTATGATGAACCAGAGAATACAATGCCTTGAGACTAGAATTTAGATGTTGTCTCTTGTGGATTGGAGAACTCAGTGATTTGCTCAGCTTCTTTCTAGAGGGATCTCTCTGTTCAGTCTATTTTGTTCGTGTTTGTAAATGGTATTGATAAGCCTTTCAAATGTGAACCTGAAAACTGTCATTTATTCTAAAAGGGATTTAGAAGTATTTTTATTCCCTTTGAAAACAAAAAAAAAATGCAACAAAAAACACTTCTTGCTCTGTGTTACAAAAAAAATTTTATGACAAGCTTTATAACATTGACTCAAAACCTATCTATAGACAAATTGGTATGCCCTTGAAATCTCCCCATCTTGAATCTAAATGTGAAACTCAGCATCATCACTGTGGCGCAGGCATTTACACTAACCCTTTTAAGCAATGATCTGCCAATATATTGTGTAGGGAGAAAATGAGCTAGATTTATTTTTACTGGTTTCTCTTCAAAATCATGACTGCAAATATGTTTATCCAAACAAAAGCAGCAAACCATAAATGAAAGCAACAAATCCTCTTAGCATCAGGTCCAGCATGGGAGGGACTATAGATAGGTATAATAGCAGTAAATTACTTTGATTTGTAAACTAAATGGCCAAGGTTTGATTTACCATTATGTTTTAGTCAGAAGGGCAGGAGATGGTGTTCTGTGTTTGAAGAGTTATGGATTTGGATCAGGCAACATTTGGAATAAGATTGAAAGGATGTTGAGAAATGAGCCTTCGTGCTTAGAAACCAAGATGTCAGCAAGTAGGTATGATAGAACATGTGGGAAAATTCCACATATTTTATAGTTTAGGATACAGCACAGAGAATTGCATGGTGCCTCAAAACTATAGATTCTTAACTGCTAGCAAAATTGATCATATGCAAATATATCTCACTTGAAGTTTGTC